TTTTTTTTTTTTTTTTTTTTCCTTTCTTTCTTTTCTTCATGGTTGTTTTTATTTGGAAACTGGGAATATAGACATGAGATCCTAGAAGACTTGTTTACATATTCTTCATTCTCCACTCAGCTTCAGTCACTCCCGTGGATACAAATTCATGGCATGAAACAGAATTTTCTTTATTGATATTAATTTTCACTTGCACATATTTTTTTTTTTCCCCCCTGTGGACGTATGCTTATGATGAAACCCCTGACTGCAGCTTTCAAATTCATGAGCAGATTAGAAGTCTGGAGCTATAGAATTTCAGATGACAGAAGGAGTGGAATGTGCTCTAAGTTTCTACGGGGAATTTTGATATCCTCCGAATGAATGAATAAATTTACATATAATTGTTGAACACGGTGTTATGCTGCTGGATTTACAGCAAAATATACGACGTAAGCCCTGGCCCCCATGGAGCTGTCAGGTAGATTAGAAAGAGGGCTGCAACTCAGCTGAGGGAGCAGTGAGCATACTATAGAGTTCCACACCTCGTGTCAAGGGCCAAAGTCCTGTGTCGGTGGAGTAATGGATGACTGTGTCACGATAACAAAGGGGTATGATCTCTGGGGAGGATAAGTAGAGAGTGGGTGGGACAGAGCTCCCACTCTGGCTGAGGGAAGGGAAGAAAGACAAGCTCAGCCCTTTTGTGACCTCAGGGCGCAGATCTTAGCTAATTAGACCACATCCACCACCAGCTGGAATAATTAAACCATCACTTGTACAGAGCTTGCGTCTACCTCCCGGAACATGTTCTAAATGCTAATGTGTTTCCTGCTACAGTGGAGCCACTGGGTCTGAAAGTCTTTAGCGAACACCTCGTTTTCCTTATGGGACAATTTCACTGGCCCTGCCGTAAATGAGACTCTTCTCAGGTTCATCTGGTTCCCCTGGTTTCACTAAGGGAAGCTTTCTGTGGGAGGTATTCCCTTCCCAAACTCGCCCAGGGCCCAGGTGAGCTGAGTCAGGGACTCGGCATGGACACAAGAGGGCAGCAAATAACACCAGACTCGTCAAAGCCAGCAAACACATTTTTTGGCAGTCCTCTTTCTGACTTGGTTGCAGAGAAGCTCTAGCATCCCAAAGCAAGCAAGCCATTTCTTGATGCCTGCTAGGTATAAGACATCTGATAAAAGGTCAGTATACAAAGAGGTGGAAGCAGCATACAGCCTACCTCTGATTTGGGGGTGGGGTTATCCTATCACCTTATCTAAAGATACTGCATCTCCGATAACACACCCAGAAGCAGCCTGTTGTTAGCAGTCTTGAGTCTATGGGGACAGAGCTCAGAAGCTGTAAAAAAAAAAAAAAAAGCTTCATTTCATATAATGTAAACGTCAAGGGATCCCTTTCCTTGTCTCCTTAAGCCCAAACTTTTCCCAGCACAGTGACTGGAACACAGAAAGTGCACAGTAAATGCACTTGGAGTGAGCGAATGAGAAGTTACGGCACCGTCTCCAATGAGCTCCTCTCCAAAGGCGGAATGAATTTTAAACATATTAGTTATTTGGGCTCGACCAGTTAGAAGGGGCAATGCAGCAATATTTAATGCTTTTCAAGACATTTCTCTATTTAAATGTTTGCTTTGGTGTTCAGCCCATGTTAGAAAGATGGTTTCCCCAAGAGAGATGAACATCTTGGAGGGGGGGGAAGGAAAGAAAGGAACACAAACCACGAGAGACTCTTAACGTTAGAGAACAAACCGAGGGTTGATGGAGGGAGGTGGGCGGGAGATGGGCTAGATGGGTGATGGGCATTACGGAGGGTACTTCTGGGGCACCCTGGTGGCCTAGCTGATGAAGTGTCTGACTCTTGATTTCGGCTCAGGTCATGATCTCAAGGTTTGTGAGATTGAGCCCCACAGTGGGCTCTGTCCTGACAGCAAAGAGCCTGCCTGGGATTCTCTCTCTCCCCCTCTCTCGGTCCCTTCCCAGATGGCGCTCCCTTTCTTAAAACAAATAAACTTAAAAAAAAAAAATGGAAGGCACTTATGATGAGCACTGGGTGTTGTATGTAAGTGATGAATCACTGAATTCTACCGACACCAATTTTGCACTGGTATGTTAACTAGCTAGAATTTAAATGAAAATTTGAATTAAAAAAAAAAAAAAAAAGACCGTTTCCCACGTGGAGGGTCTCAGCTGCAACAGATTTGCCTGGACTTCCCATGGAGAGATTGTTGCCAGTTTGTTTTTCCTTTGGCAACAGGTTCACCGGTAACGTCAGGTTACTATGGTGTCAGAAGATCTTTCCTCTCTGACTCGGATTTCCACAACACGAAACAGTTTGCAAACGACGTCTGCACCTCACCGGCGAAGCCCTTTCCCTGTGAGTCCCCCGCAGGGCAGAGCCACCCGGCCCTCCTGGATTCCTACTTCCCGGAGCCCTACGCAGACCACCGGCCCCCGCCGGGCCTGACCCCCAGCACCGGCTCTCTGTTCAGCGCCTCGCCCCTGCCGCCGCTCCTGCCTCCACCCTTCCCTGGGGACCCCACGCACTTCGTGCTTGTGAGTATGCAGGGGTCTCCCATTTAGGGAGTAAGGTGAGGTCTGGCCGGTCATTGCGCTTGGTAACCAGGTGGAAGTCGGGTCCGGCTTGCCCGGCACACCTCTGAGGCTGTTCTCCCAGGATACACTCCGAGAGGGGCCCTTCCTCAAAATCCACGCAGACCACGACCCCCGCAAGGTCTGTCTGTCTAGGGTCTTGGGAGGGGACAACTCTAAGGCAAGTTTATATCCATTTTGTTAGGACTCAACTCATTTTGCCAGACGCTCCCCCATCGTTCCCGCAGCACACAAGGAAAGCTCACTGAAGTGACATCTCCCACGAGACTAGGCTGTAATCTGCCAGGGCAGGCCACCAAGGTGTCTCCTAACCTCCCAGTCCCCCTGCGCCCTCTCCCACAATATTTCGTACCCTATAGAATCTTGTTCTTCCTCAATCCTAACAAAAGTGGTGAGTTCCTAAAGATCTGAAGAATACCAACACCCAACTTACAGAATACTGTAAAGCCTTCAACTACAAAGGAATGAATCTCTAAAGACGGGATTTTAGACAAAAGGGGGTGAATTCACCTTATGGAGTTACCTCCTCCAGCCAGGAACTCCTGTGTGCCTCTGTTCCTTTAATACTTGCAACGACTCAGGATACAATTCTTAAAGCCCCATTTTACAGATGAACAAAGTGAGGTACTCAGAGTGAGAAAGTTAGTCAGTGGCACGGCCATGAAGTGAACCCAAGTCTTTCCAGCTCTAAGCCTATGGAAGTCCTACCTCTTGGCTCTCTGAGGGCAAAAGCCCAGCATGTAGTTTAGAGATGTACTCCTCCCAGGAGCGGCCGGCGCTGGCGTCCCCACTGTGGAGACGGCATTCCAGGACCCCGGGTAGGGTGAAGCTTAAAAAGAATGCAAGACTCGTCAGGCTCTGGGCTGATGGCTCAGAGCCTGGAGCCTGTTTCCGATTCTGTGTCTCCCTCTCTCTCTCTGCCCCTCCCCTGTTCATGCTCTGTCTCTCTCTGTCCCAAAAATAAATAAATGTTGAAAAAAAAAATTTAAAAAAAAAAAAGGGGGCGCCTGGGTGGCGCAGTCGGTTAAGCGTCCGACTTCAGCCAGGTCACGATCTCGCGGTCCGTGAGTTCGAGCCCCGCATCAGGCTCTGGGCT